CAGGCTAGCACAGTTTGTGCACATTTTGATTCGACCATGAGTCGACTGGTGATCATGAGTCGACTCATCGAGGTTTCTTGGGCAGATTTGGTTAATGTTTGAAGGAATCCTAGCTGGGTTTGGTATTGATTATTTACCAAATTGCCACCACGTTATAAACCCTATAAATAGGGATTGTTTAGGGTTCTAAACAAGGAGATCAGAGGCCAAGATGTAGATCTAAAGGGTTTTAGGTCTAAGTGAGATCCTAATCAAAAGGATTAGGGTTTAGATTATGAGGATCTATGAGATCATAGATTAGAGAGAGATTCTAATCATTGTATTAGGGTTTAGAGAGGATTGAGAGGTTGTTCTCGATTCTAGTGAGATTGTGAGGGAGAGATTGTAATCTTTTGTTCTTCATAATCTAGAGAAGGTATTTTCCTTCGCTATACTGAATTGTTCTTGTATTTTGGTTGTCTTCTTCTCAACCCACCTTTTGGTAATTCCGCGACCAAAGGGTGCTCGCACGGCGACTCGTATTAAGTTGGTATCAAAGCAATCAGATCTGTTGAAGGGGCATCCTGTGTATGGTCCTGACTCAATCGCAATACAAGAAGCTAAGCGAGATCCTTTTCTTTGGAAGGAGTTCAGAGATTAAGGAAGAAGAAGATTACTGAAGTCAACAAAGATGGAGGGGCTTGAGAGTTTCCTCAGCTGATGTTCTAACTTGAATAGGACTTCAAGTTCCTAAAGGGGGGACCCATGATACGGGTGTATCTTCTCTTCGGAAAAGTGATCCTCATGGGAGCTTGAGGATAGGTGATTCTCATGATATCGTGAGAATAGTGGTGTAAAACGATACGGCTGAGCATAGGATGAAGCGTGAAGCGAGTCGAAAGAACGAAGAATCAAAGATTTCAGTTCTCAGCCTGATGAGTCGACTGACAAGTTGATGAGTCGACTCAATAAAACGCCTCCAGATAGAAAAATGCTTCTGCTGAGTCAACTCATGAAATCATGAGTCGACTCATGCAGGCCAGCACAGTTTGTGCACAATTTGAGTCGACCATGAGTCGACTGGTGATCATGAGTCGACTCATCGAGGTTTCCTGGGCAGATTTGGTTTCTGTTTTGAAGGAATCCTAGTTGGGTTTGGTTTTGGTTATTTACCAGATTGCCACCATGTTGTAAACCCTATAAATAGGGATTGTTTAGGGTTCTAAACAAGGTGGTCATAGGTCAAGATGTAGATCTAAAGGGTTTTAGGTCTAAGTTAGATCCTAATCAAAAGGATTAGGGTTTAGATTATGAGGATCTATGCGATCTTAGATCAGAGAGAGATTCTAATCATTGTATTAGGGTTTAGAGAGGATTGAGAGGTTGTTCTCAATTCTAGTGAGATTGTGAGGGAGAGATTGTAATCTTTTGTTCTTCATAATCTAGAGAAGGTATTTTCCTTCGCTATACTGAATTGTTCTTGTGTTTTGGTTGTCTTCTTCTCAACCCACCTTTTAGTAATTCCATGACCAAAGGGTGCTCGCACGGTGACTCATATTAAGTTGGTATCAGAGCAATCAGATCTGTTGAAGGGGCATCCTGTGTATGGTCCTGACTCAATCGCAATAATAGAAGCTAAGCGAGATCCTTTTCTTTGGAAGGAGTTCAGAGATTAAGGAAGAAGAAGATAACTGAAGTCAACAAAGATGGAGGGCTCGAGAGTTTCCTCAGCTGATGTTCTAACTTGAATAGGACTTCAAGTTCCTAAAGGGGGGACCCATGATACGGGTGTATCTTCTCTTCGGAAAAGCGATCCTCATGGGAGCTTGAGGATAGGTGATTCTCATGATATCGTGAGAATAGTGGTGTAAAACGATACGGCTGAGCACAGGATGGAGCGTGAAGCGAGTCGGAAGAACGAAGAATCAAAGATTTCAGTTCCCAGCCTGATGAGTCGACTGACAAGTTGATGAGTCGACTCAAGAAAACACCTCCAGATAGAAAAATGCTTCTGCTGAGTCGACTCATGAAATCATGAGTCGACTCATGCAGGCCAGCACAGTTTGTGCACAATTTGAGTCGACCATGAGTCGACTGGTTATCATGAGTCGACTCATCGAGGTTTCCTGGGCAGATTTGGTTTCCGTTTTGAAGGAATCCTAGCTAGGCTTGGTTTTGGTTATTTACCAGATTGCCACCACGTTGTAAACCCCATAAATAGGGGTTGTTTAGGGTTCTAAACAAGGATGTCAGAGGCCAAGATGTAGATCTAAAGGGTTTTAGGTCTAAGTTAGATCCTAATCAAAAGGATTAGGGTTTAGATTATGAGGATCTATGAGATCTTAGATCAGAGAGAGATTCTAATCATTGTATTAGGGTTTAGAGAGGATTGAGAGGTTGTTCTCGATTCTAGTGACATTATAAGGGAGAGATTGTAATCTTTTGTTCTTCATAATCTAGAGAAGGTATTTTCCTTCGCCATATTGAATTGTTCTTGTGTTTTGGTTGTCTTCTTCTCAACCCACCTTTTAGTAATTCCGTGACCAAAGGGTGCTCGCATGGCGACTCGTATCAAGTTGGTATCAGAGCAATCAGATCCGTTGAAGGGGCATCCTGTGTAAGGTCCTGACTCGATCGCAATAAAAGAAGCTAAGCGAGATCTTTTTCTTTAGAAGGAGTTCAGAGATTAAGGAAGAAGAAGATGACTAAAGTCAACAAAGATGGAGGGGCTCAAGAGTTTCCTCAGCTAAAGTTCTAACTTGAATGGGACTTCAAGTTCCTAAAGTGGGAACCCATGATACGGGTGTATCTTCTCTTTGGAAAAGCGATCCTCATGGGAGCTTAAGGATAGGTGATTCTCATGATATCTTGAGAATAGTGGTTTGAAGCGACACAGCGGAGCACAGTCGACTGGTGATCATGAGTCGACTCATCTCAGTCATGAGTCGACTCATCGAGGTTTCCTGGGCAGATTTGGTTTATGTTTGAAGGAATCCTAGCTGGGTTTGGTATTGGTTATTTACCAGATTGCCACCATGTTATAAACCCTATAAATAGGGATTGTTTAGGGTTCTAAACAAGGAGATCAGAGGCCTAGATGTAGATCTAAAGGGTTTTTGGTCTAAGAGAGATCCTAATCAAAAGGATTAGGGTTTAGATTGTGAGGATCTATGAGATCTTAGATCAGAGAGATACTAATCATTGTATTAGGGTTTAGAGATGATTGAGAGGTTGTTCTCGATTCTAGTGAGATTGTGAGGGAGAGATTGTAATCTTTCGTTCTTCATAATCTAGAGAAGGTATTTTCCTTCGCTATACCGAATTGTTCTTGTGTTTTGGGGGTCTTCTTCTCAACCCACCTTTTGGTAATTCCGCGACCAAAGGGTGCTCGCACGGCGACTCGTATCAAGTTGGTAAGATTGTGAGGGAGAGATTGTAATCTTTCGTTCTTCATAATCTAGAGAAGGTATTTTCCTTCGCTATACCGAATTGTTCTTGTGTTTTGGGGGTCTTCTCACAAATACATCTTTGATAATTCTACGATCAAAGATGCTCGCACGACAACTCGTATCAAGTTGGTATCATCCATAACATAACGAATTGCAGTTGCCGAACATGTCTCTGTATTCATTTATGTATTGATGGAAATTTCTTAGTTTCTCTATATATATAGTTTGCATTTTGGCAACTATCTGTACCCAGATAAGTGGATCCTAAAGTGGTAAATTAAGAAGCTAAACTCGTATTTGGCAAAAAAGTGTAGTAGAATTGACTAGTTTTTTAGTTTAATTCTGTTCCTTAATCAGGTTAGAATTTGATCATCTTCCTCAATCCGCACATGATTGTGGACAACTAGGTTAAAGATGCTAATTTGCTAAAGACTCCCTATTACTTACCAAACAAATTTGCCACATTGATGTGACT